CTGATACAATTTGATGAACTTGACCTACACCTATGGATGCAGTAGCTCAAAAGAGGGAACAAATCTTTACAGCAAGGATCATTCCCACCCCCTCCATACATAGAGTAAACTGAAAAACAAACTTTTATCACTAAAAAATAGTTACGTAAGAGGAGTTTCGGATGTAAGTTCATTTACAAAAACCAACAGTGTTCCTTTATAAAATCAACAATTAGAAAATGCCAACAAAAACTATAAGCATTTTGGTATGAATGCAAAAAGTATGACCAAGACTGTTAACAACAACAGAAAGTTTAAAAGTTTAAAAGAAAATCTTACTCCCCCCGCCCCAAAATTGTCTGGAATGATGATTAAGTGACAATATATTAAATATGATACAGAGAAGAAACCGACAACAAATTGGGCAATAAGACATATTTGAAATTGTATTTTTAAAAAAAGTATTATTTGCTACCAAATATATCAGTAATGAAAGTCCCTCATCAATTTCTCTATGTTGATATTTTAGTCTCACAGTTTAACTTTCTAACTGCCTCTATGTGTATCTGTGTGCTTGCATATAGGTGTACTCCCAAAATGGAGAAAGAGGTATTTCTTACATTTCTTTTACTAACAACCATAATATTTTCCTTCAGAGAGGTTTTATTTCCCAAGATCGCTTACATAATGAGAGAATAATTATAAATAGATTCACAGTTTATTTTAATGAATAGACTACTATTATTTAAATAACTACATTGTTAAATTAAGAACAAAAATCTGAATGTACATGTGACTATTTCCAGATACAATGTAATCTGCTGATGACTGATGGAAATTAGCATCACTAACTCAGCTAGTACATCTGACATGACAGACATAAATAAAAGACTCAAGAAGCAAGAAAATAGTTAATTCTTTGTTGTTTTTTTTTTTCCTTTTAAATAATACTCCAAAAGCAATAATAGGAGTCCTGGTATGGTGCTATAAAATAAGCACTGGACTTCTAACAGCAAGGTTGGTAGTTAAAACCCTCCAGTTTCTCCTCCAAACCCTAAACAGGGTCACTGTAAGAGTCCAATCCAGCTCAACAGCACAAAAACAAGAAGCTAAAAACAGAGCCTCCCAACTCTCATTTAATAAGCAGAAAACCTAGCAAAAATGAGAAAACAGAGTTTTAAGGTCAATGTACATCTTTAGTAGGCAGAGCCAGATAAAGAACTACTCACCAGTACAGAATATATGTGTAGACATCGATAAACAGGAGAAAAATCCACCAAATCTTGGGCCCCAGGTACCTGAAAAAAAAAAAAAAAATCTATCTATATATGTATATATATTCAACCAACATTAGAAGCAAATTCACTTACTATTAACTAGGAGCCCAGTTCTAGTATTTATCACAAAACTAGTAAATTGTGAAAACATACGCCAAGACTGAGACATAGACTACCAAAATGGATAGCACAGAATAGAAAAACATGTAGCAATGGTCCTGTATTTGCTTTTTAGCTACATCATGGGCCATCGGTCTCTGCCGTTATTGTGTGATACTGAATCCATTCCAAATCATAGCGACCCTATAATATGGGCCTCTACAAGAGAAAACAAGAAACACTGGATAATATAACTTAGATGGTTTGACTTTGTCTCCTTGGATACATGGCAATATACATAAAAAACTAAGTGTTAGTGATTAAAAAAAAAAATGATACACAGAGAGAATTAAACATCTTGCCAACCAAATTCTGAAGAGCACAAGAACTGGTGAATGCTTAGGTCAGCATTCAACTGGACACAGAGATTTGCTACGAAGAGAAGGGAGGTCATATGTATATGAAACCTCGACATCAAAACAAAAAGTTAAAAAAAAAAAAAGATTTGAGGATGAACTGGAACACAGTGGTGCTCTGTGACGTGACATGAGTAAGTCACAAGTAGAAAGGGCAGCTGACTTATGGAGGATACCAAAACTGAAATGTTCAACAAACCACACAAAACAAAAGCAACAATAAGGAAATAATCAAAATAAAGAGCCATCAGAAGTTTTTACTTTTAACATGCATGCCTAATTCCTGATAACAAGGTCAGTTTCCCTTATTTCAAAAATTAAACATCATTTCTCCTTTTGGTGCATAGCTTCTTCACCATGGTGATTTTGCCAATGAAGTCTACACATTGTACCATTCAACAGTACAATGCCGATTTTATTTTCCTTCTGAAATCACCTTATCTCTATATTCGTTGGATCAAATATATGTACTGTCCTGTTCATGTCCCTTTGCATCCAGCAGGCAGTGGATAACTCTGCATTTAACAACCTGAAAATGGTATACACTCAATAAGCCCTCAAAATAGACTTCTATGTGTAGCCTAAGGTTGACAGTAAAGAGCTCAAGATATGACCTAATGATCCAGGCAAGGCTTTACTTTTAAAATTAATCTATCACTCAACCAACCAACCCTTAGAAGAGTTCATTAGAATCACAAAAGCATTTTACAAACAGATGGGCACCATGTAGCTAAAGAAGTAGGGTAAAAGACATGTGAAGTTATTAACTTTCAGATTACATATGTATACTTGTTTTCATCGTAGTAACACACAGAGTCGACAGGTGGTCATTTTAGGGAATCTTGTTTGAAATAACCATAATATCAAAGATCATTAGTCTCTCCTCTTTGAGTGTCATGTGGATATTTAGGATAAAATAGTTTTATTTTTCTAACACCTACTAGTGAGAACTACAACTAAATGACGCACAAAATCAAGAAAAAATTAGAAACTTTCTAAAATTACATTTATAATAATATTTATGCTACATAAAACTATACATTCATTTTAAAAAGAAATATATATAAATGTTTAATCTGCATAGGAAATGAAATTTTTTTATTAAGAATTAATAGTTTTAAACGCATTATAAATATGTTGACATATATAAAACACTGACTGAAATTTTCTTTCCTAATTTTAAACAGCAAATTCAATCATAATTTTGCTTATATATTCTTCTCAATTCAGTTTGCTTATTTTTTCTCAGAGAGATAGTTTGTCTCAAAGAGAAATTGCTTCAAGCCATTCTTCGGAGTCTTCTCCCTTTCACATGTCAAACCAATCCTTATCGAATGAACATGCATATTAGGGGACAATATCCATAGAAATGTATGAGGAATAAATTAAGGGAACTTAATTTAATGCAATAAGATTGATTTTTCTAAGAAGACTTTAAAACTGGAGTTATTTAAAGACGTATAGAAGATCTTGCCTATCATGTTCAACAAGTACTTATTACCAAGCCTATCTCTGTGAGGTTTCCTGACACCATCTCACTCCTCGGTTTTACTACTCACTCCTCAGTTTACTACTGACTCCCACTAATGGCTCTGTTGTTTACAGATCTAGAACCATCATCCAGCTAAGTCCTCTCAAGCATATGACTATCTGCTTTGAAAGCAGTAGAAAGAAATCTAGACAAGAAAAGAAGGAGCAAAACAGGGCTTCAGTTCGCAATCCCTACCTCCACTCTCAAAATAGCCTAATATTTAAAAATTATTTTTCCCTCTATGTTCCCTTCTGTGAGGAACACAAGGATATGCCTTCCTCCAGAGGAGTGCTGTGAGGATAAAGGTATGTAAAGTATGCACTGACTCATGTTGCTTTGAGCTAGATGTGTTTTCTCTGCTTCTACTAATAAAAAAGACGAAAGGAGAAGAGCAACATACACTCTACGTGAAGGAATGCTACGTGTTTGGAAGGATAAAAATTGAACTCTCAAAAATCTAAATAAATGGGGGCGAGGGAAGAACACCAGAACAAAAGGCAGTTTTTCCTAACTCACATAAACAGGTCTGTTTTAAGGTCCACATTTTGCTCACCATTTAAAATGCTAAATCTTTGTCAAAGCTGTCGTCATTCCTTTTCCCCTGCTGTCCCCCCTCCTCCCGAGAAAGTTGCAAAGAATGATTCAAGTAGGTTTAAATTTCAGTTAGGGGCCAAGGGAGTGGTCCAAGGACACTTTCCTAAGCTAACAATGACTGTCTCTAATGGTTTCTGTCTCCTAACAAAAGCCATGACTCCTTTCTTTATCAGCTTCATCTAATTTTTCCTTTCCAAAGTAAATAACACAGGCCTTGCATTTTACACATGTCCAAGTTTGACAAATCATTATCGACTGAGACTATAACTGATAAGAGATAACTTTGTGGTAGGACGTTGTCATTTCCTCTCATAAGGGCTTTCTTTCTGAGATACAGAAACATGATTAAAATAGTTAAACATTTCCTCTGCCTGGCAGTCAGGAACTCAAGACATTAAGATACTGGGGTCTGGTCTGTATTTTTCTTGAAGTTCAAATAGATTTGTGACGATATCAACAGTAGCTATAAGGAGTAAACTGAAAATTATCCTTTTTTAACTAATTGATTTCCTTAAGAATTCACATGAAATAATTTCATCACCAAGGACAGCAGCTGACTAATTCCCCATCTAGTTTCTGCATAGAAAGTCTTCTGTTAGTTCAAACCTATTTATTTGGGGGGAACAGTAAATAATAGGTAGGATTTTAAAGTCTGTATGTAAGCTACCTTTGCCTCAGAACATGGTATCATAAAAAATTAAGTAAGAGGACTTGGGAATGATTTTAAATAACAGTTGTTAAGTGCCGCCTAGTGGGTTCTATATAGAGTTTCTGAGCTTTAAATCTTTGTGGGAGCAGCAAGCCTCATGTATCTCACTTAGATCCACATGTGGTTTGCAGTCCAGTGCTTATCCTACAGAGCCACTGCAATATCCAGAGGCAGAGCTCATGGAGGCAACTACTGCATGCTTCACAATGACATACTCACTGTTGTTATATGCCGTGGAGTCGGTTCCGACTCATAGCGACCCTGTACAGGGTGTCCGAGGCTATAAATCTTTACAGGAGCAGAAAGCCTCATCTTTCTTCTGCGGAACAGCTGGTAGTTTCGAACTGCTCACCTTGTGGTCCGCAGCCCGATTCGTAACCACTACACTATCAGAGCTCACTAGAGATCATGAATCCACTAGACCCCGACACATATGGCTAATCTGTTTCAGTACAATGATGCTTACATTTGTATGATAAATACTAATAACTTCAGTCTATTTTTTTGTTTGTCGGATATTTGCTGTTAAGTGGTGGTGGTGGTTATGTGCAGCAGAGTCAGTTCTGACTCAGCGACCCTGTACAGGGTTTCTGAGGCTGTAAATCTTTATGGGAGCAGAAAGCCTCATCTTTCTCCCATGGAACAGCTGGTAGTTTCAAACTGCTAACCTTGAGGTTTGCAGCCCAATTCATAACCACTACACTACCAGAGCTCCTTATTGTTGGTAAGTGCTGTTGAGTCAGCACCAACTCAGAGGGCCACTGTATAGGGTTGAACTGCCAACTTCAAAGTAGCATTTATATCTCATAAATATACCAGCTACTGTATAGTTACCACTGTATAGGGTAACTAAAAAGAGTCTCGAGATAGTAGGCTAGAAAGTGAGAAAAGCAGCTCTATAAGTTGTTGTTAAGTCCTGAGAAGTTGGTTCTGACTCATAGTGACCCTGTATAGGGTTTCTGAAGAGCAGCTAATGATTTTGAACCACTGACCCTGGGGTTCAAATCAACCTCTTAATTCAGTGCATACCCTACAATGCCACAGTATTAAAAAAAAAACAAAAAAACTCCCTAAAAGTAAGTCTTAAGAGCCTCTAAGACAATATTTATTAAGGAAGATGCAAAGATTCAGAGTAAAAATAGAAATTCTACATGTTCAGGAAGAAAAGAAACATGAATTTTTCTGATTATGAAAATTCTTGCAATACATCAAGATTTTATAAGATTTTATAAGATTTTATAAGATGTTTTTCTTCTTATCTAATACAATTTAGTTCAGAGAAAACCTTGCAGAATATAGAAAGGCAAATGGCTAAGTTACTCTAGTAAAGCATAAGAAAAATGTTTTTACATACTATGAAAAAGATTTTGAATTGAAAATAGAAAAGACACCTCAAGTTTTAATGTGGCTGCGTGCCTTCGAGTCGGTTCCGACCCATAGCGACCCTGTACAGGGTTTCCGAGGGTGTAAATCCTTATGGGAGTAGAAAGCCTCATCTTTCTCCCGCGGAGCAGCTGGTAGTTTCGAACCGCTGACCTTAAGGTTTGCAGCCTGATTCGTAACCACTACGCTAATAGATAAGTTTATTTTGTATTTTGAAACACACTACCACCCCATCCTAAAAAAATAAATAAATAAACAGTGTTGTTGTTGTTGTTAAGTGCCGTCGAGT